AAAGAAAACTCCATTTCTCAACTTCGTATTATCGTCTTCTATTATCGATCCTTCATATCTGGATCGAGCTAATCGATAATCAATAATCGCCTTTCATCGCGTGTTTACCGACATACTGTTCATACGCATCAAGAATCATCGAGCCGAAGATCACGGTACTCGGTGCTTGTTATATCCGTCCGGATCAAACGGAGCGGAACCGTTGGATCGTTTCGCCGATCTATGCATAACCGAGCAGGAACGTTTAAAAGCGCCTCATCTATCTACGATCTCAGTAATGATCGTTACTGTACCGTTACTCTCGGTCAAGGTTCCTGTCGAGATCGAATTGGAATATCACGTCCTCTCACGGTCACCGATCTTCCGCGTCTTTCCACCACCCCTCTCTTTTTCTCTTCCTTTCCCGTCCATGCTTGGAAACAACAATTTGGAAACACCAATTGCCAGAAACGTACTGTTCTGACTCGATGATTTATATCACGAATAGGTAATTAATAAATTTTAATAAATTTGCCTTGATAAATTTTTTATTTGGATTTGGATTTACAGATACGTTACAGGATAATGGGTTTTATTTTTTGGGGAGCATTTATCGTGACTGACATGAGAAGTGAGAAGTGACATTCTCATTCACGTTAGAAATTAATTGAATATATTGAGTTTATAAAAACATTGGATATTTTATATATAAAAAGAAAAAAAACGACAATGCCAAAATTTGGAAATGAACCGAGTACGTTAGAACTTTTGAAAATTATTTGAATTTTTTAATATATCTTTAAGCGTTAGTATCTCGATTTTTTAAATATTTATGTACTGATATTGATATTTCTTGCGACAGAGATATAATGTTGTTTGGATTATTTGGATAAAAGGATCGTAGGAATTTATGTAACGATTGGGTAATATAAATGTAACAACTTTTTAATTATTTATTACATCTTTATTTTTCTGTTAAATTACATGAATTCTATTGTATTACTTGAAATGGTAAATTAATTATGGATGGATATAGTTATTGAACGATGTAATGATATATTATTAAATTAAAATAGATGGTTATTGATCGTTTTATACGAAGGATTTCATGTTGAAAAGTAGATTTGTGGGATGAATTATTTTTCGTGTCACAGTTTATTGGTTTTATTCGATCGGAATTATGTGCGAGAACCTCGGTACTTGAAGAGGTTCTCGTGTAACCACGGTGTGTAAAATAGTATAATAAGACCGATTCCTGTTCTGTCTGACGCAATATCTTGATAAATTGCAGCGCAAGGAGTCGATTAAGATCTTGTCGATAATAAAGTGCCGCGTTTAAATATATAATTAACAAACAAACTCGTTCTTTTAACTTTGGATCTCTCCTTTTTCATCTCTCGTGTGAAAGTACCGTTCACCAACTTCACATTGTACCACTTTGGAGAACACCGAAATATCAAATCAATATCATGTTTTATGCAATAGTCTGTTAAGAAAAATATTTGCATAATCGCGATAATTTTAATTATAATATAATTAATTATAATATATCTAAATTCAAAATTCTCACATTCGAAATTTCGAATCCTGTTTATCAACATCCTCTCCAACAATATCGTATTTTATGTTATCTCAAATCTTCAATAAAATCACCTATCAAATCAATTCCTCTTCTCTTATCCATTTCATTATCCTGAAATCCTCTAAAGAGAATCATTCCCATTGATCCATCGATCCACGTTCCTTTATTCTATATCGGATATCTTAACTTTATCACCAAGAAAATCTCGTTTGTTTTTAGAAATATTAAAAAATTTTTCAGATAAAAATTGAATGATTTCAAGTGGGGATGATGTGATTAATTTCATAAGCGGTATAAAGTTCATATTATTCTCTATAAAAAAAAATATTAAAAAAACTAAAAAAAATATTTGATTATCTATAATTTGAAACCATATATAATTTTTATCTGAAACATTTTTTAATATTATTAAAAACAAACGAGATATTGCAAGTAATAAAGTTATATGAGATATACCCTATATCCTTTAGAATTAAGAAAAATGTCTAAAAATGACAAAAAAATACTTTGGGATAAGGTAAGTATATAACAGGTAAGTATATAAAAGGTAAGTATTAAATTTCCAAAAATTTCACGTGCCACCTCTTCTTAAATTATATTCTCCTGATACAAAATTGAAAAATTTGCACAAAAATTTTTTACTATCTAAAATTTCGACTTTGTATTAGGAGAATATAATTCGACAGGAGGTGGCACGTGAAATTTTTCTAAAAATGTCAAATCTAAAAATTTTTGCCGAAATTT